ATCTCAAACTGGTTTCTTGAACATGACAATGAGTTCACTGTACTCCAATGGCCTCCACAGTCACCAGATCTCAATCCAATAGAGCACCTTTGGGATGCGGTGGAACGGGAGATTCACATCATGGATGTGCAACCGACAAATCTGCAGCAACTGCGTGATGCAATCATGTCAATGTGGACCAAAATCTCTGAGGAATGTTTCCAGCACCTTGTTGAAACTATGCCGCAAAGAATTAAGGGGTCCAACCTGGAACTAGCAAGGTGTACCTAGTAAGGTTGCCAGTGAGTGTACCTGTGATTGAATTGAATTGAACTGAATTGAATTGGTATATAATCCAATTAATCATATTTCCACATATATTTTGTATCTACTTGTTCTTGTATCTGCTGTTGAGACCTTGTTTTCTTATTTTGAAAAGCAAAGGTAGTCACATGTGTGTCCTGGACTGAAGAAAATGCTTTCCAATGAATGATAAGAGAAAAGTAAAATGAAACACTGATTGAGGATATTACTTAAAGATATTAAATCATAAGATCAAATCAGGAATGAACAAATATTTATTTTTCATCAGGCCTATTCATTCAATTTTGAGGGTTAACTGTAGATCTTTTCATGGGCCCCCCTTGGCCTTGAGCCAGGGTCATCTGTACCCTTTGACCCCCCACGACAACAGGCCCAATTGTAATGAATTGTAATGTAATCTTTGCATCTTCCTTTATCCAAATATCCCTTAATGTCAATATGTAATTACTGCTTTTATTCAAAATTAGCGTTTTCAGGCAGTGAAAAAGAATAGTGACAGGTATCTGACAATGAGGTAAACCCCCCCGGTTCTTTGTGGACTAACTGAAGACAAGCAGAGGACGCCATGCTAGCTGCTTGAGATTGATTTAGTGGAAACACAGAAGGGTAGCACCCTGACTGGTATAGACAGAGAGAATTGTCAAGTGAAAATGAAAGACAAGGAGACAGAAAAGGGGGTAGACTTCAAGAGGTCACAATTCCTGCTGTGTCGAAACTTCACAGCCCTTGTTCAGAGGACACTTGGGAAACTAGTTTCCCTTTTTTTCATCTCATGCATTCATTTGTTCTGCACATCCATTTTCTCTTTTATCCAGATTCCCACCACCTCCCTAAGCTCCCTGGCAGCACCACGCCTGTTGTCATGGTGTCACTGTCGCTTACTGTTTCCGCTGTGATTAGCTTGTGAACTGCAGCCATGTTTGCAGGTGCACATCTGCAGCCCGTCAAAACAATACCTTCCCTGCAGACCCCGCCAGATTGAGTAATGCAATTTAGTCTTCCACTTTTATTACCTTTCGAAATGAGCATGCAGAGAGCAGGGAAAGAGGGGAGCCCACGCACAGCACAGCTCGGGAAGTCATTTTCTTAAGAGGTGTCAGGAAGGGAAACAGAGGGGCCTGATTGGGGGGGGGGGGGGGGGGGGGGGGGGGGGGGGGGGGGGGGGGGGGGGGGGGGGGGGGGGGGGGGGGGGGGGGGGGGGGGGGGGTTCAGGGGTTAATCTGCTTCTCTGATGGAGGTGGAAGTCAGCAACTGTCGCTCTTCCGATTAAGGTTTTACCTTCACCCCCTTCTCTCCATGTGTCCCTTGCTCCCCATTTATTTTTTTGTCATCCATTTCACTTTCTCTAATCCCCATGCCAACAATGTCTGAAAATCCCATTTCATTTAGTTGCAATTATGAATCCTTTCTGGGGTGATTCCAGTGCCAGGCTTAACCTTAATCATCATTAATTTCAACATCAACTTCAGCAGCGCAGAAAAATAATAATAAGCCTCTCTGTAGCCTATTTGGCTTACAGCTATTGTCCTTCAGAGGAGCTCTAAATGTCTGCTTGTACCTGGGTTAACAGTGTATTCAGACATTACTGCTGCATATTAAAATGAAACAAACAAAAACAAATTGAGCTAAAATGACCCCCTTTAATAAGATATCTTCAAAATATTCTTATTGTTTTTATTCCAAACATGTATTTGTTGGTAGACAGAGTCTTGCAATGTCACAAATGTCATACCAGATAGTGCTTCATTTCTAAGGTGCTCATCATAGTTACTGTATCTGGCCATTAGTTTGTCTATTTTCCCCTTTTCTTTTTGTGAACAAAACCTGCAAAATAACCAAATCAACAACTCGTTATTTTGTCTCACTACTTTCCCATTTCTTTACCCCATCTGTGGCTCCAAGCCCGATTGTTCCTACTGAAGATGTAATGTTGTAGTTTTTGTAGTAGACATCACTCAAACAGGAGTAAATAATGTTTACTTTGACTTTTTTCAACTGTGGATTAATGCGTACTTTCTCCACTAACGAGTAATTAAAGCACCAAAACAGTTTATGTAGAATCAACTCAGAATTAACCTCAGTGCCCATGTTCCTAATAAAGATCCAGTGTATAGGATTTGGTGGCATATATTGAAAGAAATGGTATATAATTTTCATTTCAATCAGGAGAGACAGAAGAATGAAGTAAAGATAATATTTAATACAGAATATGAGTGTACAGATTAACAGATGATTTGTGCTGATTAAGATTTAACAGAAGTTTTTGGCACTTGGACACCAGAGGGAGATATTTTGTGATCGGGGGACATCTGAGCAGTAGTAAGATAGATCCCCGCACTGAGTCCAGACACTGGAGGTGGTGGTGGCTGCTGACTCTGAGGCTGATGACTGTTGAGGCAGATGAGGCTGATGAATCCATAAAGACTAGGTGGTGATTGGGAGGTGGAGGGCGCGCACAACTGCAGAGAGAAAGAACTACAGCAGTGACAGAATCATATTTAAAATGAGGAGCAGTAAGATGATAGGCAGACAGAGAAGGTGTGTCACTATGCTGTTGGTTGATTGTGAATCAGCTGATGACTCAAATGACCTACCAGATAATGACATCTAGAGATAGTGAGCATACGTGCAAGGAGTGAATGGCAGGGTGAGAAAGAAAACTTGCAGCCTGAGAATGAAAAGTATTGTCTTTCCAACTAAACTTTTGCTAGAGCCTCAGAATGAGCCATTTATATCTACATACAGAGCAGGTCCTCCTCCACTGTGTCCACCATGTTGTTCCACAGTAGCCCCGAACAGACAAACCAAACACTGGCTCTAGATAGGCTCATTCCTGTTTTTGTGTCAGCCACCATGGTTCTCTTGCATGCTTAGCACGCAGGAGACGTTTCAGTTGTGCAACACCACTAGATGCCAGGAAATCCTACACTGGACCTTTAATAAAGAAATATGTTTTTTTGGACAGTAATGAAGGTCTATGGCACAGAGGGGTAAGCTACTTTATATCAGGCTTTGGCTACACAGACAGTATTTGTTAGTAATATCAGATGTTTGTTTTAGATGTTTCATGGGATTTATTGAAAATAAGAAAAATACATAATATTCCCAGGAAAGCAGCATGCAAAAATGTTAGCAGATGCTGGAGTGATACATTCCTAGAGTAGCCCAGGGGACGAGGGAAGTATCAGTAAAATTAAACCAAGGAAAAAGAATAAAGGGAAACCAAAATATAAGCACTGAGCAATAAACAATGAGAAATAAGATGATTACAGGCTTAAGGACATCAACTGAAAACTACTTCCACACCAAAAGAAGACAGCGCACTAGTTACACAGTAAAATCCACAAATTAACTATTAAAGCAAGCAGGGATTACAACGCACACTATTGAGCCACAACTGGAATATAAGAAGGTAAATCTACAACTAACACACACAGCCTGACTGCTGCCAAGTGACCCACTGGCCCCGTCTGCTCCTCTCTGCTGGTCGTTTAATCCTCCAGGCTCTGATAAATGATTGACATCAGATGCATACAATCACCCACTGCAGCTGCGAGGCGGGGGAGGGTGGCACCTGGAGAGACGCAGCTGAGAGCAGAATCAAAACACAAAACAACGTAACATAAAGAAATTGATTTGTACATTGCACAACAATGAGAGACACTCCGCATTTGTGTCGTTGGCACAATTTTTTACTTCCTACAAGCCCATTTTTTGTTCTGCTTTGAAATGATTGCACAAAATTTACTTGGAAACCAGCCTTTTTTTTTTTTTTAAATAGGCGGCAACCAGCCAGCACACTTCATGATGACATTGCATCTTACATTAAGATCCTCTTACTACATAAGAACTCTCACTGTAGTGCGCCTTCTTGAACCCATCTGCATTGAAGGACATCAGTGAACTTAAACACTCGAGGACAAATGACGTAGCGCCACCAGGATTAATGACTTGGGCACTTAGACAGATGACTTTGGAAAAAGGACAATCTGGGGCCAGATCAGGGTACAGTGCAGTATGAAGGGTTTGGTAGAGGGGAGCGCTCTCTGTGCTGTCAGCAGGAGCAGAAGTGTGGCTCCAGCTTTTGAATCCAAGCGAAAACATTTTACTGGTGCCATGCATGTTTGACTGCCTACAGCGAGATTGTCAACGTTTCACCCCGGGTGCTTCAGCTCCGACTTATTGAGTGACTTCCTTTATGACTGCAGCTCTGGAAACGAAAAGGAGTGGTAAACACTGTTCAAGGCACACAGCTTTCTTGCCCTCTGCTGCCAGCATGCAGATAAGAGCATTAGAGCTGTTTTTCGTTTCCAGCCTTCGATTGCTGCTATTAGCCACTCTCTGCAAAAATGAAGAAGATGGGGCTGAATCTGAATAGATTTTAATGGGAGAGCTGGGTGGTGGTGTAAGCAAGCAAAGTTTCAGAGTGAGTCAACTCTCTCTGCCCGACTGTTGTACAATAAACAAGCAATTAAAATGGAAATGGAGGAAATAATAAGGCAAAGATTAACAGGACAAGGTCTCAATATTTTAGTCAGTATTCTAGTCTGCTGTGCTGCCACTGAAGTAGAAAGAGAGAAAGAGAAGGCCTTGGAAGATGAGAAACACCTTATCTTTGGCAGACACAGTTATTGATTATAGAATTTAATTTGTGCTTCACACCTCATGTGACTTTTGAAGAGTTTGTCTGTAGCGTCCTTGAGGGGGCCAGCTGTCAAAGTTGGTTCAGATCTTCTGTTTTCCCTCTGTACATTTTTAAAAGTTAGAATAATCTTTGATGAGAACGTATTTTCTGCTGTGTCAGATGGTTCAATATACCTTTCTTCCCTCCCTTTGTCTCCCACTCTCAGTGTTCAAGAACCCGATATGCAAGGTGTACAGATTTCAAACTGTGGACAGCAAGTGGATGCTTGTGCGGGAACAAATGGAAGAGTGCACGTTGTCCTTTAGCATCCCCAAACAGCTGCTCTCGCTGTATATTCAGGAGGACATGAGCAGGTAAGTCACTCTGAAATCATACTGTCAATCTCGTGGATGTCAGTGCCAGCTTTCTCATTGCATCAGATCGCTCATTTCCTCTAACAAACCAGACAATGGAAAACAATCAGCAGTTCAAAGTAAATCTCCATCCTGGTGTTATCTCATTATGTGTACAGTAGGTGTGTGTAGTTTCTAGACTGCTATCCCGACCCAGTTCACCGATGTAAATGATTGTTTAAAAGTTCGGCCTATATTTGAAGAGGAGTGAATTATTCAGATCTGCTTAACACTTCAAAAGAAGCTCCTATGCCTGTGTATCCAGAAAACGACAAACATTGTCTCTTTCAAACACACACTCACACACACCCTCTCTCCCGGTCCTCTCATCAAGCTTTGCAAGAAGGCTTCTGGAACATCCTGCCACTGGTGCTGAATCAGACAAAAACTTAAGTTATACTCCTTAAAGGGATAGTTCGGCTTTGGAGAATCCAGCCTAACGCTTTAAAACAATGACGTCTCAGAATAATACAAACAAACTAACCAATCTAGATGGGTCATCCAAGTAAATTGTGTCGATATCCGTACTTGTGTTCAATCTCTCACTCTGATCAACTCATCAATTTCAATTTCAGGTTTAAAATTAACATCTTCTGGCTTGGCCCCACACATTTCCATTTTAAAGTCTGCCCATGAGTACAGATACAGAGAATTTAGTTTGTTGAAGAGATACAGATTGTGGTGTACTAGCTCATCCCTACCATCAAGGCAGCAGTACATCCAGCAACATGAGCATAGCCTTAGTTCAGGCAGGACACGATGTCAAGCTCAGCTCACATCCCATCTACATCAGCTGATCTCAAACAGCCCAATCAACTGATGGAGTAGCTGATTGATAAAGGGAGTCAGCTGATAGATCACATGATTCTTTTCTATGCAACCAATTGGCAAATCTCATTCAGGGCGCCCTATTTAAACTGCTCTGGCCTGCCTACTGTTGCTGCTTCCTCTGCAAACTGCTTTGCAGCCTGCCTCCACCCCAGCTCCTCCTTTTCATGTTGTGTCTGACTTATCAATGTCATCTCTTTTTGTCATTGATGCTGCTCTGTTCTGTTCCCAAGGAGTCTTTGCTGTTGCTCTCCCTGCCTTAGGCTTTCCATGTAGGCGCATGGAAGGGCAGGGAGGTGTGCTCTCTCTGCCTCAGGCTTTCTTCGTTTGCACGTGGAAGGGCACAGAGGTGTGCTCTCTCTGCCTAATGGCTTTCCATGCAGGCACATAGGGGCATGGAAGAGGCTTTCTGCGTAGGCCTGAGGAAAAGCGGAGGGGCCCCAGAACAGTGCCATACCGCCAAATATAATACTGCAAATGGAAATAAAGTTTTCCTGACTGAATTACTGTTTTTGACAAAGGAGTTTGGTGGCTTTGAAGAGAGAACTGTTCCCTGTCGGATATGGCTATCTCACTGCAAGCTAAAGCGCTAAAATATTCTAAATATAGCATACACTCAAACTGATATTGCCTTTTCTTAAATGGATAGAACTAGTTTTACTGCTCCCCATCCACAGCAGTAACTTGCTTAGCTTCTGAGGCAGTATTACTGCCTGCTTCTCCAAAATGGAGGCCCACTGACCACCATCTACTGTAGGTAATACACTGACTGAGACAAGCTCCTCACACAGCCCTACTTAAAAATCTTAATTGTCCCTTCACGATTTCAGTCCTGGTGAATGTGGTGACATGGGCGTTGGTTAATACTACAGGTTCCTTTAACCTGGGGGCAGCCAACACTGCCTGAGCAGCTATTTTGTCAGAGATGTAAACAGAGAAACAGCTTGTGTATCTGTTAACAGCACAGCAAAACAAACTCATGAAGCTGGTAATAATTGGTCTTTTTTCCATCATGCCGTGAGCAATTATGGTTTGACTTCATGCTATGCACAGTGCAAATAGTGTTCCACACAATGGCAGGTAACAGTGAAGTTGGTTTACTTGCTGATGAGCCTGCAACTCTTCATCTAACAGGTCACTGTGGTGTCATCTTCTTGTTGCATTACCCCTTCCAGCAGTTAAAGGCAAACATAAAATGCCACAAATAATTGCTTTCCTTTTTGAATTATCACTTTGACAAAAAATCCTGTGAATAAATGTGTTTAACACCTACAAAACAGCATCAAAACATGGGAGTCAAGAACATAACTGCAATTAAAGTCCAGTCCAGTTAATACTGTGCGAGAACGAGGACAGGTTAAGACAAGGACAGAGGGAGGTGATGTTTCACCAGTCTCTGAGTGTGCACCCGTAATTAGATCCCGTGGTCCCTTCCCTCAGGCTCGACCAGTGTTTGTCAAGGCAGATCATTCCTCAACTGGCCTGTTGTCCCTGGCAACCCCTTCTCATACATAACACACAAAGGCATCCATACATACACACGCACACACACTCACACAGCTTTAGATGATTTCTTTATGCTCATGTTAATACAAGGAATAGGCACAAGAAGATGCAATCAGAGACTGATGAAGTTGGTTGTGGGAGGAGAGTGTGATTTGCAATCACTGTGTACACCTACAGGATCACGCAGAGTTCAAGGACACATTCACATGCGGAAACATACACACAAGTGCCTCTACCACACACATACAAAAACAATAACACAGCCGTTATTGACCAACGAGACAAGCGTAGTTATCAGTTTACCTGTCTTAACAGAAAACCTGTTCATGTTCCCACACAATGTTTCCCTCCGTCAGCATCTGTAACCCTGCTGTCTGTTTGAATAGAAGATGATCTGCTCTGCAAACTGATAATTTAAATCACAACTAAATTTAGAAGACAATTATAGAATATTTATTAAATGCCTTATCTGTTTAATACAGCTCATGAGCACACAGCAGGCTCCAAACCATGACTACCATATACAGTGTTTGTTTATTAACAGGCATGTGTACCGTATCTCAAGCTTGGTCGCTTAAGCACCTCTCCTATAATCCTCTTTAAATGTTGTCTTTCTCCACGGTGCCTCTCCATTTAGTCGACTCTGTCAGCCAGCCTCACACTGGTGCTAGCTCAGTGTTTTTAATGATTCAGTTAGTGCTGCAAAGTTGTGAGTGCAGCGGCGGATGGTGGGTGGCTTAGTTTGCTTCACCACTCTGTGATAATCTCGGATGTTTCTTCCTTCTGTTTGTTCTCTTTGATGTCTACAGTCATGTTTTAATCTAACTCTGTGAACACAGAGGTGGCTGAGTTTTCTTTTTTTCCGCCAGTGGAGATGCTGTGATTCCTTCTGTGTGTGTGTGTGAGAGTTTGTGTGTGTAAAGATAATTAATGCATGTGTAGTAAAGTGTCAGCGTGTGGACGTCGATTAAACCCCATTCATTAAGAGCTGTCTGGTTTCTCATTAATGGAAAAAAATCATGTCCCCCTTCTTTTCCTGTTAATAAATAACCGCTGTGATTGTGTATTAAGATCATACAGGTGACATTTTGACACCCGCTTCACTGTTTGCAATTGCTCTACATTCAGGATCAGTATTAATGACTGCTTGTTGGATGAGTCTGTTTTTTTTATGTTTGCTTTCTTTTTTCAGAACGAGCTGCAGTGTTGTTTAAAAGAGGTTTGCTTATCAGTCCTCTCACGCAGTTTTTATTGACCCTACACACAAAGCCCTCTGTGATTAAACTGAACAGGCACTATAACGCACCATGAAATAAAGGTGCCCTCGTGACAGGTCTTTGCTCTTTGGGAAATGTATTCTGCTATCCCAGTTGTCTGTCCAAGCCAGTTTGAACACATTGTTTCCCTTGACTTTTGTCCACCATTTAATGTTTTTAATATCCATATAATGTTTTAGTTTTTAGTTTTAAATGAACAAGTGAACATCGTCAGCTACTGTATGTTCTTGTATCAAATCCCTTAGTCATTATCATTTATTATTTTACCAGGAAGTACCATTGCAATCAAGAGAGACCTGGCCACGGTAGCAGCCGTGCAAAACCACAACATATTAAAATACAACATGATGTAATGGTATCCCTCACTTCTCTCCATCCTAAAGGATACTGTTTTCTGTTCTTCCATTTTTATCATTTTTGTTTTCTATTTTCTATTTTTATATACTTATTTATTGTCCCTTAGTCTACTTGAGTTCAACAAGCAGAAAGCAACTCGTGATTTTTTGAGAAGTATAATCAGCTAGATAATCTGCTGCATTATTCTGAATGCTTTTAGTTATTCAGTTACTTCCAGAAGAATTGTTTTTCATTCTGAACAATATGTAGCAGAAATCAGTTCCTACGCTGTCGACACTCAGGCTCAGGCTGTTCTCACTCACTGTTCATAATAATACTATAGACTGTATATAAGGATGGACGACACATCCTCATTTCCTCCTGGTGTACAAAAATGAAGCCAAATATTCCAGATATGGACGCTGCCATATTTGTCATTTGGAGCCAGAGTCTGCGCAGTAGAAATCAAGAAGTTGCTAGCATTGAGTTCCCAACCGTACCCTGTGTGACCCAACTGTGAGCAGGGCCATTGATCAGATTGACACAGACTGCTGTCACTCATGACGTCAGACCTTGTTTTTATAGCATCAATTAACTGATTAAACCCAAACCTAACAAAAAAACAAACACTTGAACATTCATCAGAGAACCCCCCAAACTGACAAATATCATCTTTGGGAAAGGTTTATTTGGCGTGTACTTTTAGTTGGCCCATGTTCATCTGCTAACTTGGATCGGTTGTGGTTTATTACCTGTACTACTGACCTTTTTTTGCTGACCAGTTTTGGGGAGCCGTCATGCCATCCATATTTATATACAGCCATTGACATACATCTATGAAAAGTAATGCACCATAATTTATACAATATATGATAAATGTAGTTGTGATCCAGCAGGCTGTGAGGTAATATAGCCTGCTGGCTAGAGGAGGAATTCAGGTGACGTTAAGTGACAAAGTCTGCGTAGGGATGCAGTCGGGTTGGTGGTCTGGTCAAACAACCACTGGCCTTTGAA